CCTGCCTGCAGACCACCGGGGACCTGCGGCCGGGCGGGCGGGGAAGGGTCAGCTCGTTCCCCCGCAGCGAGCAAGAGGGCTGTGCCGGGGAGGGGGCATTCGCTGTGCCAAATTCGGTGAGGCCCGGGGGCAGAAGGGATGGGGAACGGGGTTTCTCCTCCTTTCTAGCCACTGGCTGAACTACTCTGCTTCCCGTGCGTTTGCCCCTCCCGCCTGAGGTTGGCCTCGCAGCTAAGCGTAAAATAGAGACCGATGAAGCACGGTCGACGGCCAGAGCGGGCGAAGGGGCAGAGTGGCTGGAAGGCGGCCACCCTTTCCAACTGAGGCTGTGAGGTCCTTGTGTGCCACCTCTCCTCACCTGAGGAGCTCGGCTTTGGCCCCGCGGGTTACGAACTCGTCCTCTCCAGCCCACAGCTCCTTTCTCTCTCCATTCTGCTGATGTCAAACTGTCAGCAGGACTCGACTCCCTCTGAAGTCGCTCCTACCGCCGCGCTGCCTCTCTGATGCCCCCCGTGCCTGGCACTACACTCCAGCATCCATCCCGGCAACATACGGATATCCGTGTATATCCGTACTGGATGGCCACTGAGTCCCGGGTTCGGAAACGGAGGGCGGGACGTTCCACCTCCCTGTCAGGCAGCCTCCGCCGGCTCTTTGTCAGCCCAGCAGTTTCGCTAGATTTCTCTCAGCCTGTTCTTCCCTTTCATTTCCCACGGGAGGGTACTCTGCACCCCTCCTTGTAAACAGCCATTATCCAGCCAATCCGCTGATGGCCGTTCGCCGCTGGTAATGCAGGAGTGGCGGGGTGCGGGGGCGTTGCCCGGTGCGGGGGGGGGACCCGCTCCACAGCGCTTCCCGTGTCCCAGGAATTCACTTGCACCGGTGGGATGCTCCGAAGGGGAGGGATGCGGGCGCTGCAGGAGCCGGTGTTCAGGAAAAGCGGCCCCAGAAGTTGTGTGAAGCTAGACGGGGCAAATTTTAAATTATCATCGTTGTGTTCCGAGTGTTCCCTGAAGCCTGCCAGGGAGGAGCACTGCTTCAGAAAATGAACGATGTGATTCATGTGTGGCACCGCCCGTAGGAAATCATGCATTTAACAGTGAATAAATTCCCTTTTTTTCTTTCAGAGGACAACCGGCAACTGGATAAGCCTCCTCCAAGTGTAGCCTTAAGTAAGAGCTACCTGACACAGCCTGGCAAACCCCACGGAACGGAAACGTCGTGGTGCTGGAACTAAAAGTTGTGTGCTGGAGAGAGAACCCCAGCCGTGGTTAATCCTTACATTTATTTTACTCCGTAGGTGCCCGCACCGCTTCCAAAGCCTGTGTTGGGTTTATAAAAGCTACAAAGAGAATCCCTTGATACCAAAATTCTAAAAACTCTCCAGATCCCTGTACCTCAGCCGCCTGCTCAAAACCGGGCGGTGCAGAGAGCGAAGGGGGCTCCCCTACAGAACCGTAGGACACGGCGTTGTTCAGAACAGCGTGGTGTTGGCACCGAGGTAGCGTGGCGTTTGACGGCAAAGGCGACGGATTGCGATGTCAGCGTGCGATTGCGCTATAAAAGTAATTTAACAAATTCCAATTCTACCAGATACAAACACCGACGCGGGGGTTGCACTGACGAGCTGCACTTTCACTTCTGCATTTCATGCTTAAAACGCGTGTCCCTTCCCAGTTCTACTGAAATACTGCAGCTCTTAAAATAGTTCATTTATCGGAGGGACGGCGAAGGGTGGTTGAGGCAGCTGCCTGCGGGCTGAGGCATTACCGAGCTCTCGCTGGAATTCTGCTGGGCTGGCACCTCTCAGAACGCCTCGGCGGGGGAGCGGGGGAGTTCGGGCGCTGCGGGGGAGCGGGGCAGTTCGGGGGCTGCGGGGGGGCCCGGGGGCGGCGGCGGCGGGGGCGGGTGGCGGG